AGATGCCGGTGGTCTCATTTTCTGGTTGGGAGTGTAAAGGAATGATAATGCCTTAAAGAGTTTAAACTTTATATAATGATAGGACTTTGAGAGAGTCCAAGAGCTCTTTATAAGCACAGGTCCTGCTCAGTCAACCACATTAGGACAGCTCTAGGAGCTGGATCGTGACCCCGCTCGCCTCAGGAACACAGGTAGGTTTGTGAATGTGGTATGAACCCACCCACTGTGTGTGTATCTGCTGCTTGTGCACTGCATGGCAGTTCTCACTTTATCAACAGATGCTAAGAGCAGTGTTTTGAAGCCAGAGCAGCACACAGTGCACGTTCCACCTCTGTCTCCTGCTGAAGACACACAGACATGGGACAGCACCTGTCCCTGTGGGATCCCTGGTCCCAGCCTGCCACTCTGCAGGAGCTGGCAGGGGACACACCTTTCCTACTACAAACATGAGGCATTAGGCAGCAAACTGGTGGTGACAGCCCTGCTGCCTCTCGTGATATGTATGCATGAATTGTTATATTATAGACTTTATGGAAGGCAATAGACCAACTCTAAAATAACTCCTCCTTCACTCTGGGTCTCACTGAACACTTGGTGTTTTATGAAGAGCTAGACTTCCCCTTTCTGCAGCAGAGGTGAACAGAGCCAAAACTGCAGTGTGAACTGTATTTGTGATCACTTAAATCAACTTATAATTTTAAAGCGAGTCTTCTGATTTTGGTGTATTTCCTCTTAGTAATGCACAGCACAGGCAAGCCTGCATATGTGCATTTTAGGCTGCAGGTGAGTGTACACTAAAGGGAAATGAGACACAAGGGAACCCCATTTCCATCAGATGAGAAGGGCAGAGACAGCCCAGAAGAAGGCATTTGATGGAAGGTGCAGATCAGAGTGTCCATGAGGAAACGATATTCTGGAAGACAGCTGGCAGTTTGGGGAAGCATTCAAATGCATACATTTGTAGACAAGCAAACTCACCTCAGGGTTTGGTTTATGTTATTTTCAAACCAGTGGCCTTACAACATGCAAATATACTCCACTATAGTGCTTGCTGTCCCTCTAGAAGAAGAGCAGGAGAGGGCTGCTCCTGGAGAGGCAGTGGTGCCCTTTGCCAAGCCGTGCCAGCGACATGCAGCCCCCAGGGAACAGGCCCTGGAGTACTGCAGCTTCTGTGCCTGTAAACTTCCACATCTGTATGCTGAAAGGGGAGCAGTCATTTTGCCAGTGTTTTAGTAAAGGATTAAAAAATAATTAGGATTTATGTATGTTCAAAAGGAAGGGGCACAGTGCAGCAAGTCACAAGAAGATGATTAAGTCAGGTTGATTGGCTTTGCCTAGAATGACAGCAATGAGTGTGAAGGTTTAGGAAAATAGCTGATAGCCTATTACCATGATGAAGTGCAGCTTAACACTTCTTTTTATATTTTAGAGGACTAACAGATTGAGGTCCCTATGGATTTTTTTTCCTATTACATAAAATGGCTATAGAAGCTGAGCTATAATCCCTCACTAACTTACACATTAGCCCAGGGCAATAAAGATGTTTTTATTGGAGGCAGATTTCATGAAAAGTTGTTCAGTTTTATCTCTGAGTACTGTACTGTGCTGAAGGCATTTAAGTGTCCTGTTGGGACACTCTGTCCTGGAAAGCAGTTACTCTCAAAAGGACAGCAAGGTCATTGGAAAAGCTGTATTTTATGCCAGAGGATCCTGCCCTCTCCCCTCAGTTCATCTGCCATTTTTTTGTCTTGGCTGTGAGCAGAAGCTGAGCCACACTGTCAGACTTGCACTCTGATGAATGCAGATCCAGCACCAGACACGTGGCTGAAAGGGAGGCCCTGGTCCTCTGGCCTGCTTCTTCCAGCTTTGCTAAGTCCTCCTTCCTCTCTTCCTGCCAGCAATAAAGGATCCTGTGTCTCTGCAGCAAGGTCTCAAGCTTTCTCTTCAGTTCACACAAGTTACCTGGGCTGTTCCCCAAACCAGCAGGCTGGTTCCCTGCCATAAGTTGCCACTTTTCCTGTCTTTTCTAGAAGCAGTTAAAACTTGTAACCCAACTCCCATCATCTTAGCTCGATTTTTCACAGAACCCTTTTCTCTAACCTTGGCAAATGCAGCAGTAGTTCAACTATCCCTTCCCCAGCAGCTCTTGCTGTCCAGCCTGCCTCCCTCTGCCCATGCCTCCTGGCTAATTCCCTTGATTTCACAGATAGCATAACCCACTCATCATCTTTCACCCATCACTTGGTATCAGACTGCAATGGTCTCTTGGCTCTCACTGTCATGACAGGATGGTTACATTTTCTGTCAAGACCTTCATGCCTTTTCCTCTTATTCCTGCACTTTCTCTCCCTTCAGCTGGCAGTGGTACCTCATAATTACCCATAACCCTGGCTTCTAGCTGTGATTCAGTGCTGCACATTTGTTTCTGTGGCTTCTATGTTTGGAGGACTGTTGGCAGTTCAGTCCTCTCTCCCTCTTGGGTGCTCTCTGCTCTTTCACAGACACTCCATCTTTCCTTTGGATTTTGTTGTCCAGTTCCCTTCTTATAAAAGCTGGAATATATGCAAAAGGTGTGAAGATATTCCCTCTCTAGAGCCAAAGACTTTATAATCTTTGCTAGTAGCAAATAGCTTCAGAAAGTGCTAATTTTCTGCTATGTACATGCAGCAGTGTATGGTTGTAGCAGCAGTGCCACTTGGGCTTAGCCCCCTTCCAGTTGTATTCATATCAGCTGGCCTCTCTGGAAGGCAGATGAGGAGCTGGCGTTAGTGGTTTCTTTCCATAAACTATTATGCAGAGAATAATCTCTGATTGATGAGGTCGTGCCCCACTACCTTACAAAGAAACACATGTGTCTTTCCTAGGTTTAAACATAAGGCCATACTTGGCAATCAGACAGCAGTTTCTCATTGATTATGACTGGCAGAGATTTATATTATGCTTATTTTTGGTTTTGTTTCCTTCATTTATCTAAATCTAGGAAATATTTCTATTCAATCTTTCAATCTATAAAAAGTACAGATTTCATCTTATAAGATGCTTTAAGTATGTATAATAAAAAGATGGTTTTCCCTTTACCTTGCACATTCCATTCATATTGTAATTTTTTGTTCAAGCTTAAGCAGTCCATGTTTCATTAAAAAAGCCCACACTATTCATATTTCTTTCATCCCTTATAAGATGGTAAAAGCAATGTTGCTTTGATGAAATTTGGCAGGTAAGAGGATCTAGTTGAATCATCTCAAACCCCTGGAGTTTTGGGCCTCCAGCTATTATAGTGGAGCAGCTATGAGTATTCAGAAATTGGTCCTTTGTTTGCACTGCATTTCCAAGCCATCTGTAGCACACAAAAGCCACAGCTCTCTTTATAGTTCAGAATGAATATTTAAAAGTTCAGTTTTAGATTTTATTTGTAGCACTTCACATCTTTCTATCCCATCTGTCTTGTGTCTCAGAGCAGTTACATTCAGCTGTGCTAGTTCTTGGTCTTAGAACCACAGGTAAATGCTGGTTCCTTTACGTTTGGTGTCAGTGTGTACTGTGTGATCAGGATCTGCACTGAGCTCTCATACGTGTTTATTTATTCCCATGCACTAAATTTTTATTTGATATTAACAAGCAGCTGAAAACATCAAGTCATCCAATCTGAAACTTTCCTGCATTTTCCTGTAGAGTGGCAGGAAACCCAAACCCTCATGAGAGCTGCCAGCCCCGGATGGTGTAGCCTGGCACGGCGGCATGGCTGGCAGTACCCACCCCAAACGGGGAAAGCTGTCCTTGGACCCACGTGCTGAGCCTCCACTTCCACAGTGTGGCTGGGAAGTGACAGGTGCCCTGAGAAAAGGGAAGGCACGAGGATACATCCCAGTGAGAGGGGACTCGTGTCATCTGGTGTGGAGGAGGCTGTAGGGAAAGGGGTTGGAACTGCTCACTTCAGATGGTGTCAGCATATGCATTTGTATATATTCAGATGTATGTTCCGTGGAAAATTTAGCAAGAAGCAACAAAGCTTCTCTAAATTGCAGGAAAATAACTCGTTGTAGTAATTTACCCTGTTAGGGTATTATCATCTAGTTGTATCAGGTTCAGTATTTTGTATCTAAACCTTAGCTGAATCTGACAACTGTGTGCAATTTTTTTCTCTTCTATGTTTAACTAGATACCTGAAGTCACCTCTTTTGAGTCAGAACTATGAAAAGGGAAGCAACATATCTTTCCGAAAACAAATGAGAGTCATCAACCTCCTGTTAAGTCATACTTCAGTTTTGTTAAATTGATCATCCCTTGTTTTTATTTTGTGCCCTGTCCTGGGCATGGATGGGACACCCTGGTGGAATGTTTGTTAGACTCTTGAGGTGTAAATGAATCATTGCCCTTAATGGCCTTTAATATTTTTTTTAATATAGAAGTATATAAATTTACACATGTATAGATATGTGTGTGTGTGTATATATGTGTATATGTACACATGTATCAACATCCCTTTCTAGAAAAAAAAGAGCAAATATGTATGTTAACACATCTCATTATGAAAACTTTTGTCTCAACAAGACTAAATATAGCAATCATGTTGCAATTCACTGTGAAAAATCTTCCTAAGAGTTATGTTGTCTTCATATGGAACAGAACTAAAGTAAATTAATGAAGACTATGGTACCCTGAACTGAGGTCCTCGGATTAACTAAAAAACAACAGCTTGTAAAGTCAGCACTTGGGGTTCTTCAGTGTATATTATATATTGCCATCTCATCAGATGGACTTAAAAGGGTTAGAATTATTCAGGCTATTGTAATGTTATTGCTTAATAAAATTAAAAAGAATTGGTTTAGAACAAGCAATTCTGAAATATTTGATAGTAGCTGAAAGTAGAAGGAGAGCTGTGTGCAAGTCTGACACGTATGTGTTTCATTGTTTCTCACTCAGGGCTTCCATGAGGCTGGACACTTGCTTTTTCAAAGATGAACACCTTATATAATATTTTAACTGAATTTCTTCTGAATCTCCCTGGGAGTCACAGGTGTGCTTCATGGCTGCATTCCCATGAAGAAAATGAGTGGTTTTGCTGTAGTGAGCCTTTTCCTAATGAAAGTCAGCCCTGCCCTCTGACTTCATATTTCATTACGTGGTCTTAATTTTTTTTTGCTCAGTCTTTAAAGTAATGAACTTCTCTTTTTTGCAGATCTCTGTCATCTCCTGCTGGTGCTCCCTGGAGAATAGATGGTCAAAAAGTGAACTGGTTTTCTGGTTGCAAATCACATCCAATTCTTGAGTCCATGGACTGCCCACACAGCCTTTGCTGTTGCTTCAAACAAGCAGCTCTAAGTATGAGAATTTCACTTTGAATGTTGTTTTGGTAATTTATTACTTCGGGAACTTTTGTCTGTTATCAGTTTATGAAAGACTGAAAAACATAGACAAGTAAAGTTATGTAATGTGCCCAAAGCACTTTTTATTGCAAGCAGCTCAGCTCCCAAGGCTTCAGGAGTGTTATGGGGATGAGCAAGTAAGGCATGCTTAGAACTTCTTGGGGCTGGGAAAGGACTGTGCTAGGGGTAAGGAAGGCACAATAAAGGCATTTATTGTACATTGTCTATTGTGTAGATCTATTGTACAACGGCTCCACCTTACTCTACTTTTGTATGGAAATGGGGAATAAGGTTTAATTTTCAGACTGAAAAATCCAAGCTATAAAGAATTTAGAGGAAAGGTGAAAAAGAAGAGTAATTTAGCTGTTGGTTTCCTTTACTTCGGGAAATGAGTGGGGCAAAAGAAAGGATTTATGGAGGATGGGAATGAAAGCTCTTCTGGCTGGATGGACTGAGTTAGTTTGTTAAAGACAGAATTTGCAGAGTGTTGTTTGTTAACATGAGCTGGCCACTGTTAGCTAGACATCAGGTTTTTTCAAAACCCTTCAAGCGAGGGAAGTAGTCAAAAGAAAGAAAAAGTGTCACGATTTTCCTCGTAATAAAACCACTAAATAGAAAACATAATGGAGCCTCAGACCATGTCCTGTGAAGGAAACACACTTAAAACCCAACATAACAAAAAAGTCTTTCTCTGGGGAGTTCTGTACCCTTTAGTCTCCAGCTGACCTACCTCGCCCCATTGGAAAGGCCTGAGCTCCCCAGTGAGCAGTCAGGACTCTGGAAGCATCTGGCAGCCTTTAGTCTGACTAACACTTAAAAGTCTCTAGGGATGCCTATAGTCTCAGGAAATCTTTTTTTTTTTTTTTCATTTATTCTTTTATGAAACCTTTGTCCCTTCCACAGAGTTGTGTGGCTGATCTATTGTAAGTCTTTGTTCTATATGATGTTTTTAATCCTTTTGCTTAGCGTGTGTAAAAAGCTGCAAATTTTCTGTGCCTTGCCTGTCTTTATCCTCAGCAGTGAGGTTCCTTCCACAGCAGTAAGTCAGTGGGGTGGAATGACTGCTCTGCCCATTTGTGCACGTGTCCAGACCTGTTCAACCTTTTCTGCTCTGTAGTGCACTTAAATATCAAGGTGGGTCGGGTTCTAGTCCAGGATTTCTTAACATGGAAACCTGGACTTAGGTACCAAAGTGGATTCAGAAACACTGAAGTTTTGACTGCTCTCAAAAGAGCTTCTTCATAGTTTAAATTTTGCAAGAGATTGTTTTTTAGGCATCTCAAGCATTGATTTAGGAACCTAGTTTTAGGCACCCAGATTTTTGGATCTGGCCCTGCTGTTGTGTAGGTACATGGTGTAGTCTGTCTAAGATGTTGGAATGGAGTTTTTCTCCCTGAAGCATACTCATGCTCCTCTCCCCTGCCTCTCACACCAGGAACATGCAGACAATAGCAGTGTTTCACACTGAGTTCATGCTGTCTGATGGCGTAATCCAGTTGCTTCAGTGTAAATCAAAAAGATTTAAAAAATGTGCAGGTGTCAAGTGCTGACAGAACAAGCAATTAAAAACACAGAAGCTGTAGGATCCTAAGAGAACATCTAACCTGCATTTTTCAATTAGTTCCATCTGTTTTGTCCTCTTCAAAAAGCAGGACCTGTGGCTGCTGTGTGCCTGGCCTGAGATGGCAAGCACGTCTCCAAGGGCTTTCTGAAATGCCATCATGTAATTTTTCTTTTAACATGAACTAGTGTAGCCTAGGGACCAGTTTCTTTAGGATAGCTAATTCTGAAGTATTCAGCAAAGTTTTTCATTGTCAAATATATTGCCTTTAATGCCATTCAGTATCAAGCAGTATGACCAGTTAGGGTGAGGAGGAGAAAGACAGTTGTCTGTAAATTCTGAACCCGAAGAGGCAGCTGCTTTTCCTGGCCAGTTGTCGACACCGTGGTGCTTTGAGGATGAAGAGGGCTATGAAGAATAAGGCAGAACATATTTCTGCTGTTCCAGAAGCCTGGGCTTTCTCATACAAAGGAGAGGGTGACCCTACCCCCAGCTTGAGGAATCTTCTCTGTGGAAGAGGCAGGGGTGTGGGTCCGGCTGGGCCATGGCTACAGAATAGGGCTGAGCTCAAATGCTGTTTTTTCAGCACTTTGTCAGGCTGTCACATGCTCACTTGGAGTGTGCAATTGCACTTCCACACTTGGTGTGGTCTGTGCTAAAGGCTGGAAGAGGAAAAGCTGAAACAGAGAGACCAAAGGCGAGGATGAAAGTCCTCACTCCAGAGTATTGGTGTATTTGGTTCTTTACCCACTGTAATTTGTGAATGGCCAGGTTAGATCAGAAATGCCCTCCTGTGCAGCAGGGCTGGAGCAACAGCCTGAGTCCTACTCTGTCTGGTGCTGTCAGCCTACCTCTTGTCCTCTTGTTCATTAGGAAGTTCTGTAAGTCATCTCAAAATCAAGAGGACAAAAAGGTACATTTGAAAACACAGCATTAAGATTCAAAATATCTAGAGTACATTTTAAAATTTTGAGGTTTCATTCAATTTTTCCTTTCATAGCATGATCAACATTTTGTGCCATGTAGCTGAAGTTTAAATGAATACTCATATAAATTTTGTAAAAGAATAAATGGTAGACAATAGGAGGTTCACTGGTAGTGATTATGGTTAATGCTGAAAACAAGAATATGCACCTCACACCACATGTGTAATTTTCAAAGATCAGTTTATGAAGTTGCAGTGAAGGATCTTCAAATATTTCCTTGTTTTTGTAAACCCAAAGAGATTCTTAAACCACTGTAATTCCAGAATTCCATCAGGCTGCATGTATGAACTTCTTAGCCCTTAAAACTAGTAAGATGTCATAAAAACATTCATTGACACAGCCACTGTCTATGTTAGCTAGACCTTCAACATTACTAATTCAGCTCTTCCTGCATTTGCATGCAGCACCTCAACGACAAGGCTTTAATGCTGTTCTCTGTTTTGTTCTGCTGTCAGGTATTCAGCTCTGGTGTCTCCTTCACTGAAGAATTTCTATATTACAGCTCTGAATACAATCTGTTTGGTATGCTCATGAACTAGCTCTAGGACTCAACCCTCCCCTATTTTATATTCTGCACTAGTTAATTTTTCATTTCTCTGGCACCTTGGTGAAAAGTAGTCAACACAGTTAACAATATACATTGTGCAACAATAAATATTTTATTGGCTATATAATCTGCACAATTCACAAGTTTGATTTTTCTCTGGGAATTTGAATAAATCTATAATTTTGAATATTTGGTGAAAACTCATATTTTATAGTATATTACACTATAATCACTGTAAAATGTGTGATCTGTTTTTTAATGGGAGTTGAAGAGATTATCTTTACTTGTTTCCTTAACATTGCTAAACTCTAATAAAGCTATTTTATAGGCAGAGTAGTTTGGAGCAAGAAATACAGAGGTTTTACCCTGGGAACTGTAAATAATTCATACACTAGTAAATTACGGTGTATTCCTTACATAAGATAGCATTATATAGCATCTTTTTTCAAATGTGTCTAAATACTTATATATCTACTTTATATATGAATTTGTTGTACAGTTGTTTGTTTTTGTTGTGTTTCTTGTTTTATGCTGTTGGAAGAAACAGATTTCTTTATTTACGTCTAGCTTGCAGTTCCTATCCTGGTCTTGAGCCCATTGTAATTAAAGAAAAAATTCTGTTCTTTTCTACCCCAGCATTTCCCCTCTATATGTACAAGTTTGTGTTTCTGTTCATGGTTTCATATGCAAGAATGTAGGGATTGGAAGATTGTTTAGTTTCTTTGTATATTAATAGATTAGGCTTTTATCATTGCACACACCTAGAAACTGTACTTGATCCAGGAGGCAAAAAGATAAATTACTCTGTATGCAAGGTATTGAACTCCTATCACTATATTGTGATATATTAATTCTTTTTTGTAATGCATTCATCCTCACTGTGTGCCTATGAGATAGGGAGTTTAAGTCATAGTTATCTCAAAGATTGGGGATTAAGCCACAAAAAACCCCTAAGCAACTTGACTAAGGCCGCACAGTGTGTTTGTAGCAAAATAGAGAGTGATCACAGCTCTGAGTGGTGATGTTAAGTGTGGGATCACTCCCCCTCTGTTCCAAGGCTTCAGCTCTTGCCTCAGAAGCTATGCTTTCATTCTGTTTGAATAAAATTCCATTTGAAATAAACCAGTAGTTCTAAATGAAAGTATCATAGTCTGCAAGCCAAGCAAGGGACTTTAAATACCATTTTACTGGGAATGTAATTCCCCATCATTTTCCCCTGTGACTTTTGTGCTTTTGGAACTATTGACCAAGTCTCTTGATGGGGCACAGCAACACTGGTGCCTATTTGAATATAAACAAGATTATGACAAGAAGATGGAGCAGCTGATTATTGTGGAAGGGTTTTAAGCACACAGGGAGAAAAATATTTTCATGTCCTCCAAAGGATGAGTGAAAAAAGGAGAAAATGAACAATGCCTATCAGAGCAAAGTTACCCAGCATAGCTGGCTGCATTTAGGATAGTGAATACTTTCCAGAGAGAAGAAATGAAAGCTCAGGTGCTCAAACAGTTAGAAATGAGACTGGCAAATGTGTTCAGAAAACAATTTGTGATTAAAGAGTGTCTGTACTGATTATAGTGTTTGTTACTGTGAAAGAAATTAATGTTTGGTAATGCATTTGTTCCAAAACTGGTAACCTAAATATTGATGAATGTTTGCAAAATTATGCAGTAGGTGCACGGATTAGCTCAGGGTTTAGAATTCCCTCAGGTAACAGGAACTATCAGTTGTTTCTACCAGATGAAGATAAATGTGTTTGCTGTTGACAAAATAGTTGTCTTTATTCTCATAATGGAGGACTTTAATACTGCTTATTTTAAATGTCATCCACTTTCCCAGTGTCTTTCTTTTCCACCTTATTT